GCAAAAATGAAAATAAATTCAAGATTTTTTCCACAAAAGTGTTTTCATGACAATGTGAATGATAAAATTTGCGGAGAGAATATTTCGGTCCTTGAAAGCAAAATAGTGGAATTTGTTTCCTTTCTCAGACCACACTGAGTTGTGGCGACTGTGAACATCCAGGAATGTTCCTTAACTGCAGTAAGCATGTTCTTCCCATCTTGGTGCTACTCATCTATCAGAAGGTGTTAATTAGATTACTTGTCCCCCAAGCCACATTCCCTGATAGTAATGGTTAAACTGGCAGAAGCAGTGTTGTGAAATTACTTACGTATTTCATATGTGTATTGAAAATATAGAAAATATAGAAAACAACCAAAGAATAATTTCTCTTTCAGTTACAAAAGACAACCTAAAATCTATATAATGAAAACAGTGCTGACTTTTTCAATAGGATAAAACTATAGATTCATTGAAAGTTCTTTCTCTGCTTTGTGAACTGTGAAAACATTGGATTAATCCTGTTACATCTGTCTTTAAACAAGTTTACTTAGTGAGAGAATTTCTAAAATGGGAGTGACAGTTCAAGGCTATGTGTGGATATAGATTATCCTGGTAACTTGGGAAATTGAAAGCTTGCTCAAATAAGATGTGGTATCTCTCCTCCAAGCATCTTCTCAATGGAGATCCAAAACGACCCTCTGGACAAGAGAATGAAACACTCCCTGGTGCTACGCCCACCCTCACAATTATTGTTACAGTTGAGCCTATTGCTTCTGCCACTGTGCCAGCCCATCGCATTAGGGGTCTTCCTCTTTTTCACTGTCCCTGAACTTTACCAAGTTCTTGAGATGATATCAGTCTCCAGGGACTGGTCCCTCCTGGTAACATACCTAAAGTCTGAGAGATGAAGTCTTGTCATCCTGGCTTCCAAGGAACATTTTGACTGTAATTCTTCCAACAGAGATCTGTTTGTTCTTCTGACAGTCCATGATATTGTCAATATTCTTCTCCAACACCGTAACTCCAATGCATCCATTTTTCTATGGTCTTCCATATTTATTGTCCAACTTTCAAATGCATATAAATGCATATAAGGTGATTGAAAATACCATTGCTTGGGTCAGGTGCACCTTATTCCTCAAACTAACTTCTTTGCTCTTAAATAAAGAGATCTTGTGCAGCAGATTTGCCTAATGTAATACATCATTTGATTTCTTGACTGCTGCTTCCATGAGTGTTGATTATGGATCCAAGCAAAATGAAGTCTTTGACAACTTCAATCTTTCCTCCATTTAACATGATGTTGTATATTGGTATAGTTGTGCGGATTTTTGTTTTCTTTACGCTGACATGCAATCCATACTGAAGGCTGAGGGCTTTGATCTTCATCAGTAAGTAGTTTAAGTTCTAGCAAGGTTGTATCATCTGAGCACTCATTGTTAATGAGTTCTTCCTCCAATCCTGATACCACGTTCTTATTCATAATATCCAGTTTCTCACATTATTTGCTTAGCATGTAGATTAAGCATGGTGAAAGAATACATCCCTAGTGCACACCTTCCTTGATTTTAAACTATTCAGTATCCCTTTGTTCTGTTCTAACAAAATGCTTCTTGGTCTACATACAGGTTTTTCATGAGGACAATTAAATGTTCTGGAATACCAGTTCTTTGCAATGCTATCCATAGTTAGTCATGACCTACAAAGTCAAAAGCCTTTTCTTAATAAAGCACATGTCAACATCTTTCTGGTATTCTCTGATTTCAGTCAAGATTCATCTGACATCAGCAATGATATTCCCCATTCCTCATCCTCTTCTTAAACCTGGCTTCAGTTTCTGGCAGTTCTCTGTCAATGCACTGGTCCAGCCATTATCTTCAGAAAATTTTTTCTTGCATGTGATGTTAATGAAATTGTCCAATGATTTCCATGTTCCGTTGGGTCACCTCTCTCTGGACTGGGCACAAATATTGCCATCTTCCATTTGGTTGGTCAGGAAGCTGTCTTCCAAATTTCTTGGCATAGATGAGAGAGTGCCTCAAGTGCTACATGAGTTTGTTGAAAGATTTCATTTTGTAGTCCATCAATTCCTGGAGTCTTGTTTTTTTGCCAATGCCTTAATGCAGCTTAGCTTGGGCTTCTTCCTTCAAAACCATCAGTTCCTGATCATGTACTACTTCTTGAAATGGTTGAACATCCTTCATTTCTCTTTGGTGCAGTGATTCTGCATATACCTTTCATCTTCTTTTGATGGTTTCTATATCACTCAATGTTTTGCCATAGAATCCTTCAATACTGAAAGAAGAGGCTTGAAATTTTTTCTTCAGTTCTTTCATTTTGAGGAATGCTGAGCATGTTCTTCTCTTTTTTGTATTCTAACTCTGGGTCTTTGCACATTTCATTATAATACTTAACTTTGTCCATCTCAACCTGCCCTTTGAAATTCTATATTCAGCTCTTTGGCTTCATTTCTTCCATGCAATTTAGAATTTCTATGCTGGAAAGAAAATTGCAGAATCTATTCTGACATCCATTTTTGTTTTTTTGTTTTTTCTTTCCTGCCTTTTAAATGACCTTTTGCTTACTTCATGTATGATGTTCTTGATGTCATCCCAAAGCGCTACTGATCTTCGGTCATTAGTGACTAATATATCAAATCTGTTCTTGAGATGATATCTAAATTCATGTGAAATATGTTCAAAGTCCTATTTTGGTTCTCATAAGACTTCTTTTGATCTTCTTCAGCTTCATCCTGAATTTGCATATGAGCAATTGATTGTCTTTTCCACAGTCTGCCACTCACCTCGTTTTGGCTGATGATACTGAGCTTTTCCACTATCTCTTCCCACAGATGTAGTCTATCTGATTCCTGCATATTCCATCTGGTAATGTCCATGTGTATGTTGTTGTTGTTTTGTGCTGTGGAGTCGGTTCTGACTCATAGTGACCTTGCATAGGGTTTCCAAGGCTGTAAATCTTTATGGGAGCAGAAAGCCTCATCTTTCTCCCACGGAACAGCTGGTAGTTTTGAACTGCTGACCGTGAGATTAGAAGCCCCATTCTTAACCACTATGTTACCAGAGCCCCTTGTCCATGTATATAGTCACCTTGTTTTAAAAAAGTTAATTTCAATGGATAAACCTTACAAAATTCTATCATTCAGTTTCCAGCATCATTTCTACCACCAAGGACTTTATTTTCCAACTATTGATCCTTCACTCCTTATTTCTAGATCTTGCATTCAAGTCACCAGTAATTATCTACATATCTTAGTTAGATGTCTGATCAATTTCAGACTGAAGAGGTTGGTTAATACTTCATAAATGAAATCATGTATGTGAGTTCATGTGTAACTTTTAGTCACTATTTCAGATCTTTACTAGTCATTAACACATTCTTCGAGGAGGAACATGACATGAGTTTCATGTTATTCACATGTAAACTCTCAAACCTTTGGTCCATATTTATAAAAGAGAGGATTGTCTACATAAATTATTACTCTTATCCTCAAACGAATGCCTTCAGCCCACCTGGCATGTCCTCATCCATTCCAATGATAGCAGCATTAAATAGAAGTCTTTCAACTTGGACATGGTTTTTCTATCCTCTGACCCAAAGCTAGGAGATTGATTACTAAGCTTATAAAACAGTTATATCCTTTCCCTGGTTTCGCTGTGAAAGACTTCAGAGTAGAGGGAAATGCCTCTGCCCAAACCAGCTTAAGGTTTCTGGTGTGCTGAATACCCAACAAAGAACAAACATTTAGAAGTTCTTGAATTTTCTAACCCACAACCTCATAATGTTCTGGAGATTCCTTGAGCTCATGCTGAATGATCTGGAGAAGCCTTGAGCTTGACACTGGTAAGCTCATGTCTCTGAGTTAGTCACGGGTCAAGACAGGAAAACAGTAGGCAAACATTTAAAGTCATGTTCCATTTGCTTTCGCTGTGGGCTAACTCTCCAGTCCCAAACAAAGGATTGTCGTGTATTGTGCTTATGTCCTAGCTACTAACTGAAAGTGAGCAGTTTGAACCAACCAGCTGCTCCACAGGAAATCAAAAAATTGATGTGGCAGCTGCTTCCCTAAAGATTGTTGTTGTTAAGTGCCGTTGAGTCGGTTCCGACCCATAGCGACCCTGTACAGGGTTTCCGAGGGTGTAAATCTTTACGGGAGTAAATCCCGCGGAGCGGCTGGTAGTTTCAAACCGCTGACCTTAAGGTTCGCAACCCGATTCGTAACCACTACGCTATACAGCCTTGGAATCCCCATGGGCAATTCTGCTGTGCCCTGTAGGGTAGCTACAGGTTGGAATCGACAAGATGGTTTGGGGTTTGGGGTTTTGTTTAATCGTCCATTTACATATTGTTGTTGATGTTAAGTGCCTTCCAGCTGTTTCCATCTCATAGCAAACCCTGTGTAGGGTTTCCAAGGGGTGGTTGGTGGGTTTAAACTGTTGACCTTGTGGTTAGGAGTCAAGTACTTATCCTACAGTGGCACACCAGGGATCCATTTACATATACTAGTCCAGGTGTGGCACTGTGAGTTGTTTCGAGCTGTAAGGTCAGTGGTTCAAGCTCACCGGTCACACCTGGGAAACCCTATACAAGGTTGCTCTGGGTTGGAACTGACTTAACAGCACTTCACAACAACAACACTAAATCAGGCTCCCAGTGAGTTTACATTTCAGTGTTCTCTCTCTTAAGACTACATCCCACAATCCTAATTTCTTTCTAATATTTAATATTTTGCTCTTATTAAATAATTCTTAAATTTTCTAATTAGAATGAATGTGCAGTACTAAACGCATCCTTTAACACATAGTCAGTATGACTCTGGATACTCGTCCAATAGACATTTCTCCCTGTGCCCCTTTTAGATAGTTCAAGCATGTGCTCTAAGCAAAAGTGCCCCTCCAGCTGCAAAGACTCCAGAATATACATTCCCAAGACCTCCCTGAACTCCTGCTCTGTGCCATCATGATATTAGCAATGTATGAAACAATCTTGCCTTTAAACAGTCTACTCTAGTGGCCGTAACCATGGCTTTCAGGTCAACTCCAACGCATAGCTACCCTACAGGACACAGAACTGCTCCCTAGAGTTTGTGAGATTGTAGATCTTTATGGGAACAGACACCCTCATCTTTCTCCTGTACTTCACACATTAAAAACATTTCACTGATATACAATTTCATGCAAAAATATACTCATATTTGGTCAGCAGTTCCATGATTTTTGACAAAAGTCAAAGTGAGTAACTACCACTATAGTAAGAACGCAGGCCATTCTAATCATCCTAGAAGTCCCCTTGAACCTCACTGTCCAGTTCACTCTCCTCCAATCCAGGCAGCCACTGGTTTACTTTTTGTGATAGGATATCAGTTTTGCCTTGGTGCTGACGGTGTCGGTAGGTGCTGTCCAGTCAGTACTGATTCATAGACACATCATGCACAACAGAACGAGACACTGCCCAGTCCTGGCCAACCTCACAGTGTTGCTCTGCTTGAGTCCACTGCTGCTGCCACTGCACAAATCCATCTCCTTGGGGTTCTTCCTCTTATTCTCTGACCCTCCACTTTTCCAATCATGATGTCCTTTTCTCCAGGGACTGGTCCCACCTCATAATATATCCAAGGTATAAGAGACGAAGTCTGGCCATCCTGGCTTCCAACGAGCATTCTGGCTATACTTCTTCCAACACAGATTTGTTCCTTCTTTTGGAAGTCCATGGTATTTTTAATATTCTCCTCCAACATCATAACTCAAATGCATCAGTTCTTCTATGGGTTTCCTTACTCACAGTCCAACTTTAGCAAGCATATGGACTACTGAAAATACCATGGCTTGGGTCAGGCTCACCTTATTCTTCAAACTGACATCTTTGTTATTGAACCCTTTAAAGAGGTCTGGTACAGCAGATTTGTGTAATGCAGTACGTCGTTTGATTTCTTGACTGCTGCTTGTATGAGCGTTGATGGTTGATATCAGCAAAATGAAGTCTTTGCCAACTTCGGTCTTTTCTCCATTTATCATGATGTTATTTATTGGTCCAGTGGTGAGGATTTCTGTTGACTTTACGTTGAAAAGCAACCCATACCAAGGGCTGTGGTCTTTGAACTTCATCAGTAAGTATTTTAAGTCCTCTTGGCTTTCAGCAAGCAACGCTGTTAACAACCTGCAATATACAGATGATCCAAGTCTTTCCCCAATCCTGATGCTATGTTCTTCTTCATAGAACCCAGCTTCTCGGATTGTGTGCTCAGTGTACAGATTGTGTAAGTATGGTGAAAGAATACAACCCTGGCGTACACCTTTCCTAATTTAAAACCTTTCGGTATTCTCTTGTTCTGTTCAAACAACTGCCCTTTGGTTTATGTATAGGTTCCTCATGAGCACAATTAAGTGCTCTGGAATACTCATTCTCCTCAATGTTGTCCATAGTTTGTCATGATCCACACAGTCAAAAGCCTTTACATAGCTAATAAAGCACAGGTAAACATCTTTCTGGTATTCTCTGCTTCAGTCAAGCTCCATTTGACGTCAGTAATGATATCCCTTGTTCCAAGTCCTCGTCTGAATCCAGCTTGAACCTCTGGTAGTTCCCTGCCGACGTACTGTTGCAGTAATTTTTTTAAATTATCTTTAGCAAAATTCTAATTGTATGTGGTATTAATTATATTGTTTGATGATTTCCAGTTGCATTGTGTCATCTCTCTTAGGAATGGGCACAAATATGGATCTCTTCCAGTAAGTTGGCCAAGTAATTATCTTCCAGATTTCTTGGCCTAGATGAATGAGTGCCTCCAGTGCTGCATCTGTTTGTTGAAAGATTTGTATTTGTATTACATCAATTCCCAGAGCTTGTTCTTTACCAGTGCCTTCAGTGCACCTTGAACTTCTTACGTCAGTATCATTAGTTCTTGATCATATACTGCTATAAATGGAATCATGCATTTTGCTTAGCCTAACATGTTTGAGGTTAGGTCCATGTTATGTTCGTATTTTAATATAATTATATGTATACATACCAGTCACTCCTCAGAAACCCTATAGAGGATCGCTATGGATCAGAACCAACTCAACAGCACATAACAACAACAACATATCCAGGGTCATGGTGTGGCTCAGCAGAATAATGCACTGGACCACAAAGTCAATTTGAACTGCAAGGTCAGCGGTTCAAATCCACCAGTCACTCCTCAGAAACCCTATACAGAGTTGCCTTAAGTCAGAACCAAGTTGACTGCACTTAACAACAGTATAGCATATCCATTGCCATACCTTCCCCTACAGAGCGGCTGGCGGGTTCAAACCTCCAACCTTTCAGGTATACACCAAGCACTTTACCAGTGTGCCACCAGGGATCCTTTAGAGTAGTAAGGGGTACAATCCAGTAGTGTATGGCTCTGCTGGGGTCTGATGGGTTAATGATGTGTTACTGCTGTCCACTGGGATACCCTGCTTACCCATTGCATGCATGTGCAGGGAAACATAGCATCCATAGGTTTGTATGTGGTTTCAGCCATCTACTGGGGGTCTTGGAATGTATTCAGAAGGATAAGGGGGGCAATCCGTATTTTTTTAAAAAAATATGTTCCCTGGGTTCCTTAAAAAGAATGATTCGACGGTTATCAATTTCTGTGGAGCAAATTTCCCCAAAACCGGATGGCATAAACAAGAGCCGTTTCTGTGCCTGAATTGTTTCTCTGAGCCATTCTAGGCCAGGCCAGATTAGACTGATGCTGAGTACTCAGCCATGCCTGTGTAGCGTCAGTTGGCATCTTGGCTAGGACCTGGGTGATCTAAGGAGACCTCTCCTACCTGTCTGGTGGCTGGCTTGATGATCAGCTGTGCTTGCCTGGGACATGCTGCCTGGGCATGGTCACATGGTGGCAGGATTCCAAAACAGCAATCAAGCAAGTGTGCAGACACAAGCTCTTTGCAAGTTACTGATCATATCTCATTTACTGCTTTCCCATGGCGGAAGCAAGCCACAAGGCTGGGACAGAATCAAAGGATGGCAAAAACTGCCCCTCTTAATAGGGGGAGAGTCCGAGGCACCTTGTAAAGGCCTAGAAAAAGGAGATAAGGAGCCCAGATAGTGCCATGAGTTACTTATTGGACTGTTCAAACCTACCAGCCTCTCCGCAGGAAACAGATAAGGCTGTCTGCCCCTGTCAAGACTTCCAGGCTAGGCAATCCTAGAGATTTCTATAGCATTGCCGAGTCTGGTTGACTTGGCAGCAGGTGTGTGGCTTTGGTTTAGACAGTCCCAGGCAAGCAACTACCAATGATGCTAAGACTGCTTAGAACTGAGCACCGAGTCAGAGTCAACTCAGAGGAAACTGACCACAGACATTGTTGTTAAATGCTGTTGAGTCCATTCATCCAGTATAGTGTTTCCAATGAAAGGTTGATGGGTTTGAACCACCAGCCTTGTGGTTAGCAGTGATGGACAGTCATTTGTGAATGTTTCTGCATTCTGTGCAAAATGATATTAGGCTTGGAGGGTGAGTTTTAAAGTGGAAACACAATTCAGACCAGAAAACAATATTAGTCTTAAGATAATTGCTATTACTGCTCACTTTAGCAACCTTCTGAGATGGAATAGGCAGATACTATTGTCCTTACTTTGTGAATGAGAAAAGTGAGACATTCAGAGAGTTTAAGTAATTTACAGTAGATTAAGTTTATGTCTCAACAGCAGAGAAACGGCATACTCAATGAGAGGCACCCATAAAGGGACAACGTAGAGGCTAACCAAGACGAGGAGCAAACATAGATGAAGAAGTACCCACAGAATTTCAGCAAAAGGAGCCTGGTCCCCCGCAACGCTGGAGCCTGGAGGATGGAGAGAACCAGAAAGAATTTGGATCCAAATCCATAGCAGAGAGACAGGAAGGACAGGGGTGGGGAGAGCACCCCAACTGCTCACTCCTATATTCTTCTTGTGTCCTGCTGAGCCCCTCTCCCCACTGTCACCAAACCAGACAGCAAGCAGGTCTGGGCCCTAAGAATTCAGCTCCCAGGGTTCATTGCAGGACAGACAAGATCAAGGAGAGAGATAATAGACATCAGGAGGCAGACAGAGGGCACTCAGTTTACGCAAGGTCATGTGAGTTATTAGCACAGCTCCTAATAGAAACCCGTATCCACTGGCCCTTGAAAGCACTTGTTTTTGCAGCTAGTGTGTTTAAATTCTGAATTATTATTTTATCTGGTATGTGTTTCCATTAACAGCAAACTACTACTTAGTTCTAAATACAAATTCATGTGTAATCCTTGAAAATATCAATAATAAATATTCAGCATTCAAATCTAAAATCGCAACACAGTATATGCGTCTATATTTTTGCTGTATTTACTAGTAATGGCGGATCAAAATGATGCCTGAAATAACACAGGAACCCTAAAGCAATAAGAGATAGTCACTAAAAGAAATTCCATTTTCTCACTCTGTATGCCAAGCCAAATTGTTGTGTTTTAAGTAGAGCCCCAGAGAAAAATACATCAAGTCACCCAAATCCAAAAGCAAGAAAACTAAACCTTTACCATTTCTTCAAATCCTGATCAACTCTGTTTCGGTTTTGCATACCGCATTTCTAAGCAATGTGCAGGTAGTTGACAATAGGCATAGTAATGGATTATTTTGTCTGCAATTCTAAGTACATCTTTGACATGCTCTGCCGCACTCAATCGAATGAAAGGTGCTCTGGGGAAAAGATAGCTTAGCCTCTCTGAGAGCCAAAATGAATTTCCAAAAGGCAACATTACTAGAGCTCGACAATCAAAATCTTCCGCTGCAGGAGAGCCTAGCTGAAAAATGACCTTTATATGCACTGGTGAAATAGCAAAGTGATTTTGTTTCCCTCTCAAATCTTGTCTGTGTTGGTGGAAGATTTCCCCAGTGCAAAAGCTTTCATTTGGCTGGGAAAGTAGTTTTTCACAACAAAGTCTGGTGGGGACCGGGCGCTGCAAGAGTGTTAGTGGGCCTATTGAGGGCACTGTGGGCTGCCACCTTCACAGGAAGTGCAGCCTCCTGGGGTGGGGGTGGGGGGAAATGAGCTTAAGCCAGACATGCTCAGAAGCACAAAGAACATTTGGAAAGGAGGATGTTTGAGCTCTCCATCCGTGTCTCACCATCACATTCGTCACGTCTTTTGTCTCCTGTTTGCAGTGTGCTTCCACATTGGGACCCTCTTCAGACTCCTTGGACTTTGTTTTTGTTACGTAGTGCCCTGTATAGGGCCTCTGAGGCTGTAAATCTTTGTGGGAGCAGAAAGCCTCATCTCTTCAGGGATCCTCATTGATGTATAATATATTTACATTATATTATTATAAGCAACCATTTGAGATCAGAAGGGCAGGCTTTGTCCAAGGACAAAGTTCAGAAGGGTTAGGAAAGAAGCAGGAATGAAGGCAGGAATCACAGGATAGAAATAGGCTACACAATGTTAAATTGAGAGGGGATTGCAGTCAGTGAGAATGAAGCAAAATGTGTGTGAATTGCTGAATGGTTAACTGATGGCTGCTGTCAACCTTCATCCAGTTCAAAATAAAAAGTTAAAAAAAAAAAAAAAAACCTGCATATAATTGAGATAATAAAATCAATCCTAACACAAAAAAAGAAAATCAAATGTAGATATTCTGTAGGCAGTAAATGATCTTTGATGAGAGGATAGCATATGTGATGAGCACTTGCAAGGAACTTTAACAAGCAAAGATGGAGTATTTTTCATGGAAAGTGCTTTGCTTCATCATAGGGACTTTACAGTATGTAGCCAATGGCTGTGACCACTGAGAAAAACAAAAGAAAATGTATACTATCTCAATTCTCATTATGTCTCAAGGGGAAGAGAGTTAATTTTTCTCAAGTCCTCGCCTTGGGATCTTTTTATTCTGTTCTTTAAAACAGTCTGTGCTGGGCTGAAAGCAGGAGAAAACAGTCCTGGAAACTTCCATCTCCTCTAAGTTTTCATAGCATTTCATTTGAGCTGAGACACAGTGGCTAGG